ATATATGCAGTGGCATGGGGTGTTGCTATAAAGGGGTAGCGCCAAGTCACCCATCTACACAAGGGTCAATACATTCCTAATAGAGGCACTAGTATACGGGTTTTGATTTTGATTTTTTTTTTTTGCGTTTGTACATGCGTGAGCCACTACACATAAAATAGCAGAACCAAAACACGCGCACATATCCTTAAGCCTTAAGTCAGTCGGGCAAAAGCTGGGTTATGTGCAGAAATGCACTTGAGTGTTCAAGTGTGAAGCCTTGTTACTATTAGAGCGCAGTGTAAAAAAGAACATTCATGTACCTTTCCACTTTCAGCCAGAAACAAAAAGAATCGCAGGATTGAATTTTTAGCATGAAGGCTAAGTAATGCTATTATTTCCTCATCTATCTGTATAGAATGCTCGTACGTTTTTGTTTGCTCTAAACTTACCAAGAACCAGTTTAGTAAAGGCCAACCTCTTGCTCACTGCCCTTTTTTCTTGAACTGATAACATACGGCATTTAGCTGTCTTGGCTGTCTGTGAGCTGCGTATATGTGATAAATAATGCTAGGAGCTAACTTGTCCCCATTTTTCCACAAGGCAATCCTTTTCCTCTCCAAGATAAAAAAACACACTTTCATGAAATGCGCCTTCCTCTCTGTGTTATCATTTAGTTGTTTCACTCTGTTTCCCTCCTGTTATAAGAACCGATGCTATTTTATACTTACAAAGTATAATATCGCGGCAAAGCACACCCTATCAGCGTAACCTCGCCCTGGGGGTGGACTGGAAATAAAAGTGATACATAATATTATTATGTACCAAGAAAAAACATCCGCGAACGGGCAAGGAGCCGACTGTTTGTGGGCGCCATCTAATTTATGTATATTATATACATGTATATTATATACACACACGCATGTCCATATATGAATGAGAGTATTATGTACATGTGCTTCATCATTACTATCACTTTCCACCTCATGCTGGAGTAAGGGCCATCAACAAGTGCTCTACATGGACTTCTGTCTTGGGCTATAGTCTCCACCTTTTAACAGTATAATATATATTTTCTATACTCATGAACATAATACTCTCCCATAGATCTTTAGGTGGGCCCGTGCACACACACACACACTCACACACATACACGTACACACACACACACACACACACACACATGTACACACAAGCTCACGCGCACTCCATTATCACCACCACCTCAACGACAGATACAAAAAGCTCTTTTTGAGGTAAATGTACTTACTAGTAAATACTTGTGTGGTTTTCTTTTTCCTTTTTCCCTTGTCCTTCATACGAACATTCCTTACCATTGATCAGTTCATCCGACTTTCACCGATTCCCCCCGTTTGCTGAATCATATTACAGTTAAAACCAACCACTTCACAGACAGAATAGACGGCGTTGTTTTATATTATTGTACATATTATATGCAGGGAGTTACCTGCATAATGGAAATGGTTTTACTGACGATGAAACTTTGTTACACTTTACACTTTTTGAAGTGCCTCTTTCAATTATCATTATTTTTTTCGGTGCCTTTAGTCTAGCAGCTATGGAATAGTTGTTAAGTACTCTGTTTTAGCAAAAAGCATGGGTCAATTTCCAGATGGGGAAAATAACCTATCGGCTGCCTTCGTCGTCTTTTGGAAAATATTATTATTGTAGCCAATTCCCATGCAACCAGGATTAGCACCAGTGGGCAAAGTTGAGGGGGGCCGTCTCTGAAATGGCCAAACTAGGAAGTAAAACATAAAAAAAGAAGGCCGAGGTATGGTGCTTAAACACGGACCCTATGATGAGTTGTGCGAGGTGGATGAAATGAAGGGGGTACAATGACTACATTGAGCCTGGGTTTGCAAACTGTCGGACCAGGTCAACGGGTCCAGATTTGGCACACAAGAAGGGAATAAAAAGGAGATGGTGGGATGCACATTACACGTGCATGTGATTACAAATATGACATGTATATATTTAATAGTTAAAATTAAAATGTAAGTTTTGATCAATAAGCCTGACTCTGACGTCCTACTAGAGGCCATTGCATTTATTTCGAGGTCGCGCAGCCCCCCCCCCCCCCCCTCTCTCTCTCTCACGCGTTGTGTGGGGTTTCAGATGACCAGTTTTAGCCTCCAGACTCTTAGGAACTATTCAGACGCATAGACTCCTTTCGTGTCAGTGAATGCGCCATGGTAATAATAAATAACATAATGATGATTATTATTATGTGTACATTATATTAGACGTTTGAATTGAGCCTTATGAGAGTAATTCATGTGTCATTTTTGTGTAAAGATTTCGCCTAGGGCATATTTTTGTGGCACGATTAGATTAATAGGCCTACTTATTATTTTTACGATGACTCAGGTTGAAGGTGCTGATAGGGACGTAGGCACTGGCTTTTTAAAATTTTACTCAAAGCTGTTTTATTTTATTTTGAGACAATGGAGATGTTATATAGTGGGTTTCCCAACATGTATTAGTCAGTGTGTTTATCTGGGATATGGGCATAGTATATTGTAAGTGTTATCTATAAAAGTATTTCAAGTTCAGTCAATACACTTCATAACCTCATGATGCAAGGACGGTTACTTATTTCTCAAGTGCTCCGGTGTCAGTTTTGCAATAGTTCTTACTTAAGGTCGGGGTTAAAAAACGTTTTAGTAAGAGATTTACGGTACTTGCAACACAATAAAGTCATTTAAGTGCCGGATATTAGAAGCGTTACAAGAGAGTAAAAAACACACACAAAAAAGGGAGGGAGATAAAGATAATAGATGTTTGATAGGAAGGAAGGAGCAAACCACACCAGAGCACCCGCCAACCACCCACAGGGGCCGATTGGGAACTGAACCTAATGCGGGATCGAAGCAGCCAGTCCCTTAAATGGTGTTGATTGGAGTGTGAAAGCGTTTATAAAAATGAAGTGACACTTCAGTGGAGGAAACGATAAACAAGAAAGGACTTCCAAGGTACACAGCATTTCTCCATTTTGTTCTCACCAACACTAACAACGAACTTTAAAAATCTAAAAGGCATTACATCTTAATGTCGGAACTTCTAAACACAAAAGCATTTGTTGATAGAAATGGGCAGGGTAAAAAAAAAAAAATTAAAAATAGCATCATCACCTCGTCAGTATGACCATGAACTGTGAAGTAGCAGCAATTCAAGAAGCAGTGACAGTAGGCCTAAATAATACTAATAGGCCCATGTGCTTGAATTTGACATGTAGGTGTATGTTTTATCCCTGTTGTATGTTTACATAGAAAAGATGTTTCTTGTCAGACAGACATATATGACTATGACCTTTGACCTCATGAGAACTGTAACTCCCGCGTCTTCCCTTTCGTTGATATTCTGTGATATAACGGAGATGACATGACTATAATTAAAATAGTAGACAATTATGAGCAAGATTTGTTCTCGCTGATGTTATTTGCTTGTTTCGTCACCTTACATTGGACTTGGAGTGTCTGAATGAATTAAAATAATTAGGAGATGAAGAAGAAGAAGAAGAAGAAGAAGAAGAAGAAGAAGAAGAAGAAGAAGAAGAAGAAGAAGAAGAAGAAGAAGAAGAAGAAGATGATGATGATGATGATGATCATCATGATGAGGATGATGGCCACATTTCCTTTTGCCAGAAATCAATAGTCTAGGCAGGGCGAAAAATGCTGACCTTTCTTATAGTCAAATTTGTTATAACGCTCGATGGAAAAAATAACTGAGAACGCTCATTAAAAAAAAAAAAAGACCCAAAAATAAAGTCCTGTTGCCAGCTTCAGTTGCATTCGAAATAATTTCACTAGACTACTCCCAAGATACACACACACACACACACATACACACAGACTATAACATAACGAGAGAGAGAGAAAGAGAGAGAGAGAGAGAGAGAGAGAGAGAGAGAGAGAGAGAGAGAGAGAGAGAGAGAGACAGAGAGAGAGACAGAGAGAGAGACAAAGAGAGACAGAGACATCTCATTCTCTTTCTTTGAGCTGTATTTAGGAGGCCTGTATTTAATACACATGTATGTGTGTATAGAGAGAGACAGACATACAGACAGAGAGAGCAAGAGAGACAGAGAGAGAGAGAGAGAGAGCAAGAGAGAGAGAGAGAGAGAGAGAGAGAGAGAGAGAGAGAGAGAGAGAGAGAGAGAGAGAGAAAGAGAGAGAGAGAGAGATCCTTTTGGTCAACCACAACCAGAGCTTCAGGCGGTAACAACTTACTGACGTTACTTCGGATTCTGCAGTGCACAGAAGCAGAGGAACGACCACTGTCATGACGAAATGTCACACAACGTCTGCTCTATGTCAAGGTGAGCATGTGAGAGTTTATTTGGACTTTCCATCTCTCCATTTCTTTATTACTTTCTCAGTCAGTAGGCCTACTCGGCAGGACCAGTATTCCGCCCTTAAATATTTTCAGTGGGAGTCTTGTTGGGAGATTTCAACTAAAACTTTAAACAAAAAATTAAAAAATAGGCAAACATCTCTACAGAAGACAGGCTCTTTGTAAGAGCAAACATTCGGTGTCAGTGTCAGGCTCTCATTCCCTTCCCCCACCCTCTTGTGACTTGCGAGATGGAAGTAAGAAGAACAAAAGATTTAACTCCTGTTCAATGTTGAAGTTCTGCACGCGTATTTGACATGTATTGTGCTTGTAGCAACACGTACATTTACATAATATGTTATCATTATCATCATGAAACAATAGTTCCCAAGATGGAACAATAAAAACGTCTTTTCCTCTTTCCTTTCCGATAAAAACTCAAGACTTTTTCATCGTCCCCCCCCAAAAAAAATCCCAACAACAACACAAAAAACAACCAAAAAAACAACAACAGAGAAACAAAAACAAATAAACATTAATCATCGCTTGGCCCACGGGATAAGACGACATAAAAAATAATTTCCAACCCTTTTGTTGCAAAAATGTACAAATGCGCTACTGATGATCATGCTGAAGGATGGGACACTGAATATACCTGATAATTGTTCCCTTCAGTTGTTTAAATGTAATTCCCGACAGACCTACACCACTATCATTAAAACTATTTAAATTGTGTCAGGGGGTATAAAACATTTAGCATAATAAATATACTAAGAAAACCCCCCCCAAAAACAAAGACCTATCTTTAGTACCCCTTTCTTGATCAAATCTGTAACCAACTGTGTTACAGAAGTCAGCACGCATGACATAAAATACAACAAAATAGAGCCGAAAAAAGATTCCTGTAATACATTGACGCTCTTTATTAATAATGACCAACTAAATCAAACAGCTTACAAATTCAGATATTCAAACAGAGACTTTTTCATACATTCAAACAGTGACTTTTTCACACATGATTCAAACACCAACTCACAACTTTCAAAATTAACTTGAAATCCAGACAGGCTGACAATTTACCACAGTTAAAACTTCAAATACCTTGAACTTGCAAGAAGATACATGTAATGCTTCCTCTGATATTATAATACAGATACACTATATTTACTTAGAAAATGCCATTAAAAGTTTGTAATGTAACATGTGCACCAAAGCAAAGCACATGCACTCCATAACAACAGCTCTTGTTTCTTTTTTAAAAATAAAACTTTCTATATTATTATATTGACAAATATACATGTACATACCTTGTAAGAAATCATCATCACTGACTAACTAGGCCTACTTTACAAAGTGACATCGATAATATACCACAACACAGAAATGTTTACTAGGTAGGTCAAAATTGAATTGCAAATATGTAATCTATGTTCACAAACATGTATTTTTGTTCCAGACAATGATGTTAAAATTTGATCACATACACTTGTCTTTTATTCAAGTCTATATAATTCTGAATCTATAAGACATGCTTTTGATACATTCTAAGGCTAATTCATCATTTACACATGTCAGATCGCTGTAAAACATGCTTTTGTCACAGACAATGAAATTCCCAAATCGAAAATTTTCTTTTAACTCTTCATTGTATTTGTATATCTTGTCATAAAAATGGGTTTTCAGTAATTGCATTTTTGTGAGCAAATCTCAAATTGTAAATATAGTAGGGGAAAATTTTAACAACAGTTATTAACGACAGTGAACATCAATCAAATTGACCACAGAACAAACCTAGGATCACTCTACAAGGCAAGTCCAACCTCACCTCACAATTCTCATCCACCCATACAATTTCGGAGAAAAACTCTCACTCTGCTGAAGTGCTATTGAGAGACTTAATTTTATCAGGGAGTCACTCCAACTTCGAATATTACTTGTGAAGTGGGACAATAACTGATATGAAAGGTAAAATCAATTTCTGATAAAGAGATATATATATAAAATCAATTTCTGATAAAGATATATATATATAAACATTCCAGCTCTAGTTCGATCAAAATATTTTTGATTCCACAAAGAACAGAGCAGATGTTACAAACTAAATACTTACCCTATAGGCAGACTACTTTATAACATAATCATAATGCTGTTTAATTTCTTGATTGAATTAGCTGTTACTCGCATTTCAAATCAAACTTTCCCAGTCAGACCAATGACTTAAGTAAAAAAAAAAAAAATACAGAGAACACACAAAATATCATATCACACATGCGCAGTTAGCATTAGTTCTCTTTGTGTGTTGTTTTATTTCAATATTTCAATCGGGGGGGGGGGGGGGGGGGGGGGGGGTTGTGTACTCCTGCTGAAGTGAAAAAAAAAGTACACAAGTGTGGGTGCTGGGGAGGGGTGGGAGAGTGATGGTTAGAACTTAGGACTAACTTAGAGGACCCAAGAGGGGGAGAGAAAAAAAAGGAGTAAGGACTAAAAAGAAAAACAAACATATATTATATGCCAGCTCTCAGACCTTAGGCTCACATCAAGACATCTTGATGTTTTCGAAAGTTCCATACATTATTTTCAACATTCATTCTAACAACAATGACTAGACAATGATGATAGGGAAAAATCATCAATCTCACGACAAGAAATTCGCCCCGGTAGTATATTACAACTGAAGTGAACATTTCTGATACAAACTGCCATACAAGCAATGCCCCACAACTTTCAAATTAAAGTTCAAGTAACTTCTCAACAAGTCTCAGGTCACAGATGGACACAAAAGGATAAACAAATCCATTACACAACATAAACTCCAACAGCACATACACAATACCCATTTGATATAAAGATTTACGATGAATAGACAACAGTAACAACAGACAAACATATCTTTTAATTTAAAAAAAAATTTTTCTTTGCTTTTTATGTACAAAGATAAATAAATTAACAAACAAGGAGCAGTAATGTTCTCATTTACAACACCAACACAACACAGGCTGTACAACTCTTATCATTTGTCCCTGTTTTGTGTGCTCTTTGTGGAAGACTCTAAGCTACTGCCCTGTCTACTCATCCTAAATTCTCTCTCTCCATCAACTTATACAACAGCTGCTGGCAATTGATGTAGATCTATTTTCACAGCACAAAGGGACACTAAAGAGCAATCCCTGACTTTTAACTCTTTCAGTTTGCGATTTAGTTTTAGTTTTAGTAAGTGTTTTATGGCACTTGCAACACAATAAGGTCATATAAGTGCCGAAGATTAGAGGTGTTACAAGAGAGTAGCAAACACGAAAAAGAAGGAGGGGAGATAAAGACGATAGATGTTTGATAGAAAAGAAGAAGCAAACCACAAAAGAGTGCCCGCCAACCACCCATACGATTTCTAAGGGATCAAGCCAACAAATGACCCACTTTGTGGATCTATATTCTGAAAAAATAAAAAATAAAACAGTTAAATCAGATAAATTATGTTGAAAGAAATTGATAGATGTGGAAACCACCAAACACAACATACATGGCACGATTTTATTATAGGGAAATAAAACAACTACAGTGTTACAAACATGAATAAGAAAGAGTTGAAAGAAAGATGAAAGTAAATGTTACATTCAAAAGTTATACGCCATTCAGAAATAAGTTAAAAGAGACGTTCTCCTGGCACAGTAAAAAATCCAACAATTTTGAAGGCCTCCATATCCTCACTCAACTATTCAATGAGAAATACAATGGCCTTACATGAAATATGCTAATGATAATTTAGATCATTTAGGGTGGAGGCTGCAGAGACTCAGTCTGACCTTGCCAGCCAGGGCAAACCCTGGATGTGGGAATACCATACCGTACCCCAACAGATCTTTTGCAGGCAAGGTAGAGTTGAATAACCCTGAATTCATTATACCACAGGTGTTGGTACAAAATATAGAAGAACACATTATCCTGAGAAAATACACACTCCTGCAGCTTCCAATGAATTGCAATTTAACTAAAAAAATCATTCTGACATTTTTAGGAAAGCACTCCAAAAATATTTTTTGCTGTCTTATGATAAAAACAATAGGAAAAGTATAAATCCAATCTCTTCATTTTAAAGAATGACTTTCAGTTTACACTAAGTTACACAACAAAAGCTACTAAAATTACACTGACAAGGAAAAATGAAACGCTCTACCAAGCCCTTCTCCTTATTTACTTCCACACATATATATATATATCATTGTATAAAGGCTTTCAAAAAAAAAAAAAGAGCTGTTATTGTAAGAACAAAAGCTGACACAATTCTAGAACAAAACAGAATTGAGTACACCAAAATTTTCTTTTGAATGTAAAAAAGATGTGAGTTGCAGTTTTAAGGCTAGTTAGCTCTATCTCATTTTATTAAGAGCAGATGAGGTTTAAATACAAATGCTACCAAAAAAATAAAAGGAGCAAATAAGACAGAAGCGTGCACTAATAAACAGTTTGTACAAAAGAAAAAAAAAACAACTAAGTATTCAAACAGAATGGGTGTTGCTTTTTTAACTTCTTCTTTGACCCAGTTTAAACTGTTTAATAACCCCTCTCTTGTTTGTTGTCTATTACAAAGGTACAAGTGGCATGGCAGACCTATTCCAATTTTCAGGAGAGTAATTCTAATATTATATCTTTTTACTTAGACTTCAGCAGGATCTAAAACTACACAATCACAACAACAAACACATAAACATTATATTATACTCTGAATAGTCATGATGTATCTTAAAAAACATTCAGTTATAATATACATAAAAATACAAAAATGCAATATCACACCTCCATTTTTGCCCCTGATATACTGTATCTTTTTGGTGAAAGTCATTGTGAGAAGTATTCAGGCAGAAACTTTGTCTCTCCCCCATCCCAACAAATACCATTTTTATTACTACTCTGACTTATCATGTCAGTATACTTCTTTACAGGATGGTGTCAAAAACCTAAATTCAACTCCCTTCTAATATCTATCAAAACAGTTCTTCAACTCAACTGGGGAAAAAAAAAAATTAATAATAATAAAAAAATAAACCCCAGCCCAAACAGGATCAGCTAAATTTTCGGTTGTTATACCGATTCCATTCTCTTTTTAAAAAATGCAAAGGCTCTTGTTATTATATTTAAAACAAACTTCATATAGTGCCAAATAAGACATTCATCAAAGTCTAGGAAAGGCCCGAAAAAGACATTTAAAAGGGTCTTGGAGTTGACCTTTCAAGGTATCTAGGAATTCTTTGTAAAGCCTGCCTACGAAAAACATCCCAATAAACTGATGAACTGGCTTAGTATATTTATATATATAAAAAAAACAGTCCAAGAATATCTTTAAAGCTTGCCTTACACAATTTCCATTACACTGGGAGGTAACTTGGGAGAATTATGCATGTATTTGCAAAATTTATCTTCACATGTCGCATAAACTTTTTCAAAAAGTTATGGTTATATTATCCAAGAGAAACATCTCAAGACAAGTCTGAAGACTACCACAGACGAAGAAGAAAGTCTATTGAGCTTTAGCTAGTTTCTGTGCCTGCTCCTCCTGCCACTCAGCTTGGTGCCGCTTCTTTTTGTGCTCATTCAGCTTTCCAAAAGTGTAATACTCTTTCTCACAATGGTTACACTTGAACTCTCTAACCCCAGAGTGACGCTTTACATGAACTTGGTACCGATAGCGGGTGGGGAACGCAGAGTCACACAAGTGGCATTTATATGGCATTTCTTTCGTGTGAGCAACCTGGATGTGAAGTTTTCTATGACCCCTTTGTTTAAAACTTCTCTCACAGTAATCACACTTAAAAGGAGTTTCTCCGCTGTGGGTCCTTCTATGGGTTTTGAGGTCAGAGTTGGAAGAAAACGCCTTATCACAAACCTCACAGACATACCGCTTCAGGTACTTTGCCTGTATTGTACTCTGTCTTGTAGCCCAGTTGTATGCATCCACGTACGTATGGGCCAGACTCTTATCATCTTTCTCCTCTTTAACTTCTACACCATCAGTGCCGTTCTTTTGCTCTGAGGCTGACAAATCCATTGGAGCGTCAGAACCGTCGGCTTTTGCGTTCCCTGTCTTGTTGGTATGCTCTCCTTGTTCCTCTCCACCGATATCTTCCGGTTTAACGACCACACCATCAGCTGCGTCGCCCCCGGGGAATGATATGAAGCTTCCCGTGCTTGGAATGTACACAGCCTCTCCCAGTGTGTTCATGAGCTTGTCGTGTTTTTGGTAGATGTGTTGCTTCAGTTCTGTACTGTTGCTGTAGGAAATTTTACACAAATCACACTCGAACGGTTTTGCATCAGGCATATTATGACTGTGACAGTGAACACTCAGGTGACTCAACATTGGAAAGCGCTGCCCGCAAATGCTACACTTATAAATATTTAGCATCCGATCATAGCGATGCTTGGTGTGCTTGTGCTTATCAACCTCGGAGACAAAACGGAACTCTTGCCCACATATATCACAACTGACAAATTTCTTGAAAGTGTGCAGCTTCTTATGAACTTGCAGAGCGTACTTACGCCTGAACACCTTGCCACAGTCATCACAAGTAAAGGTGGTGGTGTACATCTGGTGCAGTCTCAGATGTCTGGCCAAGTTTTCCTTACCTAAGTATGACTTGAAACACAACTTGCACTTTTCAAACTCTGCGTCCTTGTGCTCCCGGCGAGCATGAGCCTGGAACTTTTCCCCACCGCTGTGGAACAGCATGCCACAAACCGGACAGGCATAAGACTTGGCCTTTTTAAAAGAGCCCTTACGATTGGTTTTAGGCTTGCCTGAACTGTCTCCTCTCCGACCACGAGACTCACTGTTCACTTTGATTTTCATTAAAATTTCTGCAGCAGACTCAGAAGAGGAGCTGGGCGGTGGTTGTATAGGGCAAGGAGCATTCACCTTGGCTGCCTCCGCCTGCAGCATCTCTTGGTTTCTGTGGCCCCTCAGGTGAGCGTTGTAGCCACTCTTGGTCAGTAGCTGGACACCACAGATCTTGCACCAGCACTCATCATGACTCTGGTGGAGAGATTCGTGTTTCTGCAGAGCCCGCTTGTTGCTGAAGCCCCGGCCACATTCCTCACATTTGTATGGCTTGGTTTCATCATGATAGTGAAGATGGGTTTGCAATTCTTGAGGTGAATCGAACATCACAGTGCAAATTGGACAGGAGAATTGAGACATGCCATCCTCCTCTCCGTCTGTGCCTTGGTACTTTCTGTGGATGGAGACAAAAAACATTGATGAATTACAATACACTAATAATTGTTTGGTATTGTTTCGTTGAAGATATGTGGCTAAAAGAGAAATTATATTTTTGCTGTCCATTGAAATTCAATCAGAAAAAAATTGTAAAAGAAAAATAAACTTTAAGGAAAATAAATAAGTTGCAGAGGATTATAAACATATCAGTTAAAAAAAGATTTCTACTGACACATTTCCTGATTTTTTCCCTTAACTTCCTGGTACCCAATTCAACCATCCATTCTACAGTCAAGTATCTGAAGTAGTTTAACTGATTTTATGACCAAGCTTATGTGATTCTGAAAAAAGTAAAATTATAATTGTATCGTGTAAAAAAAAAAAGATATATATATATGGTATAAAGAGTTGCACCAACATCATATCTTTAAAAAATATCATATCAACCAACATCCGTTGCCAGATAATAATTTCTAAGAAAATATTCATCTTTCCACTGAATTCCCAAACCAATGGGGTCAGCACTACCCAAGATTCTACGGTTCTCCCTAGGATGCAACAGCAGACACATAGTTTGATCACTCACAACACAGACTTTAGACCTTTCATTTCAGTAGCATATATAGATCTATAAATTATGCAAAAGTAAAACCAGTTCTGAGATGCCAGAAACAGAATCTGTCATTTTCACACACGCCTATTAATAATGAAAATCAAGCCTTCAAAAGACCTAATGAGTCCACCTTTCCTTCACTCTCACCAACTATTCTTTTTTCATTTTTCACAAATGGACCCTGTACTCAAGCAACCTCTGAATTATCAGTATGAATTAGGCATTGCTACAATCAATTCAGTTCAAACATAAATTCATCCTTCCAATGTTGTGACTCATTCACACTTTCTTTGAATGATTTAGACAAAAATATCAAATACAATCAAGCTAGAGAAATTTTACACAATTTTTTATCCAGTCTAACAATCTTAAGTTGAAGCCTATTCATCCTCTGACAACATTCTTTCAATAACACACTGGTAATTAATCTAAATAAAAAGACCAATGACACAGACATGGCTGTAGACCCATGGACATAGTAAGATAATATATAAAGTAAAACAGGAACGAAGAAGTATTTGTAAAAGCATAATCCAATAATTAAAGATAGTTACTTTACAAAAAGACCTGTGATTCTTCTAACAAGAAAAAAATCCAATCTGTTGTGAGGTGTCATGAGCCATTCAAGGCTGAATTAGAAAGCCTCCAGCACAATTATATTCTCAAACTTGACATTTAGTTTAGTTTTAGTTTTAGTAAGAGTTCTATCGCACTTGCAACACAATTTAAGGTTTGAGGTCATATATGTGCCGAAGATTAGAGGTGTTACAAGAGAGTAACAAACAAAAAAGGAGGAGAGATCAGGACGATAGATGCTAGATAGGAAAGAGGTAGCAAACTGCACCAGAGAACACACCAATCACCCACAAATTTGACATACACGTACAGGAACCCCCCCCCACCCCCCCCCCCAAAAAAAAGAAGAAAAAAAACCCAATGTAAGTCTGGAAGTGGAATGTGTGACTGAAGAAAGACTCACCTCTGCTGGCTCAGTTGGTCAATGAACTGCATCTCTTTCACGTACGGAATACTTTCAGGATTTACTTCACAGAACTTAGTGTGTGTGACCAAGGAACACTTGAGCTTAAACCTCCGCAGGCATTTGTCACACTGGAATGGCATGAGCAGGGAGTGTTGGGAATCAATGTGCTGTCGTAGTTGGCACGGGGCAGGGTAACCCTCGGGACAGGCTGAGCACTTGAAGACGTAAGGGGTTTCCATTTTATGCGAGCGAACATGCTTCAGAAACGTTTTGAAACGGTAGGACGGACAGCCACACTCGTTGCAGATGTAATGTTCAGTGTTGAAATCTGAAAGTAAAAACAATCAGAGGCTCTACAATCAGATAATCAAGAACAAAATAATTACTCATAATTTTCTTTAGTTCACTATCACAAACATGTTTAAAGGCAACAGGATGATCTTTAAAAACTCAGATAAATCCCTCTATATAAAGAAAATTCCGACCTAACAACAATAGTTACAGAAGAGACTTAAAAGGGATATTTATAAACACATAAATTTGCAAGATGAACAAAAAAAAACAACTACTTTTACACAAAGTTGAGTATTTCATTATAAGAGGATTATAAGACAGTATACTTGTTCAGCAGGGTTTCTCTTAATGTGTGAACATATAAACAAAAATACAGAAAAACAGTATGGATCATACATTTTAAAGAGAGAAACACTCAGATGTTGTTTTAAAAAAATGAAATCTTGGAAGAAGTAATTTACGGAAAAAAAAGCTCCCTAAAGGCTCTTTTACACTTGCCCGCAAACAATACACCCTACTTCAAAGTCAAAGGTGGGCAAATACTGACAAATTTATGAAGATAGTCTGTGATTATATCTTGTAAAGGAGATCCACTATTCTGAGTCTGTCAAGGTCAATCCAGACAAAGTGGGGTGCATTCACGAAAATGATGAACATACAAAGTACTGAATTAATATTCACCCTGATTTATATTTTATAAAAAGTGAGGTAGCGAGGTGAAATCAGGCGCTCGTCAAAATAATGAAAGTCAAGAAATGGCATTTTTTGGCATGTTTGGGAATCTTTATCAAATTTTTGTTTTTGGCTCAATATCGTTCAGGCTCATTATAAAACACATTTCTGTGTGGATTTTACTGAAAAACATTGATTAAAGGTAAAAAAGATATAAATTTTCAGTTTCCACGGACTCTCAAAGTAAGGAAATTACTCAACTTTGGCGGCCATTTTCTCGCTAATTTTACATCTGAAACTAACAGATCCTCACCTCCTTCAATTGCCAATATCTCGACTTGTTTGTATCCAACATAAATGGATATTTTTTTCACCAAAAGCAAGGCAAATGGACAGGCTTTAAGATGATACCAATAACTTTAAATGTTCCAAAATTGATGAGCGCCTGATTCCACCGTGTCGTGACACAAATTATTTTAGCAGGAGGTGAAGGCTTGAACAATTCCCAGACTTCTGTATACATGGACAGCCCATACTATACATTAACTATTTGACATAGAAAAAGAAGATAGTGTTAATGTTATTAAAATCTTGATTAAAATGCCTTTAGAAAAAAACACTGAGGTTTTAAAACTTTATGTGTCACGTATAAAGAGAATCTATGCATAAATGCATTATAACTTTAGTAGTTTCACAATGAGTTAGAAAGTCAGATAACAGAGAAGAGGAACTAGACAACACATTATTATTACACCAGAGCCACTGACCATTCACCATGCTTCACAGACTCTGAACAATCTATATACTATATATATATATATATATATATATATATATATATTTACTCATCTTCACAACATACTGACATCACTTACAAACATCTAAGATCAAAGATGACCAATACAAGAGAAAAAGAATCTTATCTCACCATGGTCACCTCCATTTTCTCTTGCTTCACTCCCATGGTTCAACTCAAACTGCTGTTTCTTGTCTTTATCCACCCAGAGCTCGTACGTGGAAAGCCTGCGGTGAACGTTGAACGCAGTCCTTCGGTTGAACCTCTCCCCACAGTCGAAGCACTTCATGTCTATTGGGTCAAAACAGTGGGACTTCATGTGCTCATTGTGAGGCTCCAGTTCTGAAAATTTTGCATCACAGATGAAACAAACATAGCGTTTTACAGAGTTACTAGGTATATTTGCTGGTGTGGGCTGAGGTTTCGAGGATTCTTTAGATCTACCGGGGACAGACTTTTTCTTTGCTGAAGACGTCATGGCAGTGATTTCACTGAGAGGGATGTCGATTGTCGCGTCACTGTCAGAGTTCCCAGACCCCTCCTCTTTGTCTGGTTCCCATTCAGGGTCTGATTCTCTTGGTCCTTCCTCCATTGGAGTTTCAGGTCGTTCTTTCTTCGGAGACTTTGTAGACTTTTCCACCTTTGCCTCTTCAGGTTCATTCTTCTGAGTAGCATATGCATGAGCATAAGCGTTAGGCTCATTAGAGTAAACTTGCAAATTATGTTGATTTTGAAAGACAGCAGTTGAGGAGGTTGAATCAATAGTGCTTTCAACATGATGTAGTAGTTGAGAAGTGTTGTCCGTTTTTGGTAGGTTCTCATTGTCAGGTAGAAATGTCCGCAGCAAGTTGGCTATAGAATCAATGTCATCAGAGGAAACATCACGACCGGAAGACATTTTTTCCCCTCTTCACGATTAACCAGGCACACCTGAAAGCAAAATAAGAAGCAACTTCTTTAGTCTGGAAAAAAATCCGTAAAACATCTTTTTATAAATCAGCAGCACGTTTGCATCCCCACATCTTCTCTGACAGTGATTGACAGAAAGAATAAAGATTAAGTAATTAAAACCCCTTGACTGCACACCCTCACAGGAAGAAGCCCACCTTAAACCCACTTGCACATTTTTACTATAATCAATAATCTATGATAAAAAAAGATGAATTGTTCGTTCATATTAAAGTTGTGAAGTCCCTATATATATTACTATTCCACACAGTACTCATTTTGGAAGTGGAGTGAGGAAAAATGTCCCTTCATATAATATATTTGTTTTGGTGTGTTTTACGGCACTTGCACCTGCACAAAAGGTAATATGAGCGCACTGGACACATTTAAACATATTTAGTTTTGGTAGGAATTTTGAATTTTGCCTGGGTGGCGGCTGAAGCCTACTCTTACCGATTTTACCACCAAGGGATCTTAAACGTGTGTGCAAATTGCAACATGTGGGATCTCTGATATTTTTCGCCCTATCCAAGAAGGCTAGGTGTGTGATCTGATCTTATATCTACCATAAGATCAGGGGTGTGACTAGAAGACAGCAGAGGAGCCAAGGCATCGCAGTAGAAAAGCTGCAGAAAGAGTCAGGAGCCCAGAGTAGGGGGGCAAAGGGGAGGGGGGGGGGGGGAGAGAAAATGGAGACGAAAGCAGATGAACATGAATAAACCCTATCCATACGCCCTTGGGTCATCCCGACCCCTGGGGTTGTATTCTTCACATTTTAGAATACTTCTAGTGCCAAAGATCTCTTTGAAACTTTCAGTTTTTCTAAAAAAATCATTAGACTGCTACGCGAAGCGCACAGATCGGATTAACGAGTAAATTTACTCTTTGGAAGGTGGTGGCAGAATTCCCCACGTAGTATGGATACAATGGAAAAACACGACGTACGGATGGTTAAAGAGAGCAGGAAAGGAGATGAAAGGAGAACATTTTAGAGAAGAAAATTTTCTTTTGCTGTCAAGTTTTGAACCCAGGACCTATGGAATGAGATCATGCGAATGGGTAATCTTCCACATCTGCACATTTTATTCACATTTGCCAAACGATTTCCTGGATTCCGGTATCTATGGAAAGGGATGGGGTACAGGTACTGGTTACAGTTGGGGCAGGGTTAAAAGGTTTACCCTCTAAAAGCCTCAACAATAATAAGGCCGGCTCTATTTCTCCGAACGTTTGGGAAAATAAACTTAACTATTTCTCAGAACGGTTTCGGTTCCCGAGATTTGTTGATATTAAAATATTATAAGGAGTGGCCCGTGTGTGTGTGTGTGTGTGTGTGTGAGTGTGCATGTGGGATGTGTGTTTGTGTGTGTGTGTGTGTGTGTAAGGTGTGAACGGGTGGGGGGCGTGGACGGATTTTTTTTTTTAGATGAAGGATTTTAGTTTAAATGCTGGGTGACTTTTTATGCAAAATAGGTTACTGCCAAGGTCGAGCAGTCTCGTTTTCTTGCAGTACCTTTTGAAGGTATTTTCAAATAAAGTATAGATTCTAGTCCGGGAACGTTGGCTAAACAACAACAGAAGTATCTGAATATTCAGACATTTAAAAATCTCTAGCTCAAGAAACTGAATTTGATGAAAAAAAATGCTTCTTCCCAGTCCTTGCAGAAAGGCATAAATGAAAAGACTCCTAAATCTGGCAAATGACCCCAAAAATCTCGAAATCGGAAACCGTTCGGAGAAATAGAGTTCCACTTTATTTTCGCGAACGTTCGGAGAAATAGTTCAAATAGTCACTTCACAATAACAATTGCATCTTATTAAAAATATAGATACCCCAACCCTTACCTTACTGGCCCAATCTAACAAAAAATGTGAATAACGTGGGCAAATCTGTAAGATTACCTGGATCTGTACACACAAACTCTATACCTACTATTTTACTACCATGAGTAGAGGTCAGATCTCCAAAATCTCACTGGCCATAATTAACTCTCTAACCCTAATATTGATGATGAAGCTTTCGTGTGTAAAAAAGAAAAAAAATGAGGCCTGGAAAAAACTGTCTTATATAATCTAAAATCTCCAGTCAGAAGTAGATCTAGGTCTGGATTTACAAATCTAGCTGATTTTTCTTAATTTCAGATTTGAAAGCCATTCATCAAGCTCAGATTAGAGTTGGGCAGAACAGAAATGTAGGCCCAGAGTATGTTATGACAAGCTTGGCACTAGAGGCTGTGTACACACTAAATTTTACGAGATTGGCTAGACATTCATAAAAGTAACATGTCAGGTCAATTACTGCAGTCTCTGTGTATAATGTCCTATCTAGCTAGACTTATTAAGTGTTTCAATAAGTAGAGAGAGTGTATGCTTGTCTATTATCCGGCCCAAACTTCTTCACACTTCCAGGGTCTTCTCAGCTGTTGCGGGTTTCAATGCAAGGGTCAGCTCTGGGCCGAGACTCCGAGACCTAAAATCCTAGGCCTCGGTCTAAGAATAGATTCTAAGAAAGTGACAAGACAAGAGAGTCGTAGGGCCTACCCGTATAAAAGTCCTTAACACATATTCCATGGTCATTATGGTCGTATTTATGTGAACCTATAATAAATTCAATGGTTTTCTTTTATCAAGGCAGATCTCTTGCGAACCCTTTGAAAGCTAAGTAAACTAGGACACCGGCAGACATGGGATGCGAACCCCGGGCCTCCGCCATTACTGCTTTGTCCCGTCTAGCTCGCCATCTTGGTCAGTCTTTACGTTTTCTGCACCACTGACGGGAATTCATAACATTACCTGCTGCAAACTGGTTCCAGAAACTCCCACCGATCATCTATTCCTGGGGATACATTTCAGTTGACAAATAGCACCATCCAAAGGCACCTATCGGGGCGGCGGCCGAGGTGGAATCAACCCCGAGACGCTCGACGCTTGGCCTACTTCCTCTGCCGGGCTCCGCTAATGAATGCAAGCCACTCGACCTTCACACGGGCGGCAATCGGTTTAAAGCTTCGATATTATAATAAAGAGGCGAGTAAGCAGTTGTGTCCTCTTTATTTGGGGAAGAAACGAGAAACTCCTGTCATGAGGATACATTGTTTACTTTTGTTCTTTAAAATGCGAAATATTTTATTTAATAAATGTTTATTGTGGTTTGGGGTTTTTTTTTCGCGTCTCCGTCTTCAGATAAAAGCCGAAACTAACAAAATCACGTATTGGCACAATAAAAAACGGATGCAACACAACAGGCTGCAACACTTAATAAGCAGTATATAGGGCCTACTGATAACGATTTCTGGTATTGGTTTTACGGCCCTTTCAGCGCAACGAACGTTAGAACGTTATTAGGAAAGTGGCTGTTGTTTATAAATGACTCTCTAATACGACAGAATTATGACAATGTAAAGCGTTTATAAATGTCCCCAACAACAGAGATCCGAACTCGGAACGGTAGGCTATATGAATTTATTTCAAGGACACAATCATTATGAAATTTTAATCTTTCTATAAACTAAAAATACCCCAACTTGTGGTGAGCGACTGGTGCCGTCCATTCCTAGAGCATTGACTTGCTTAGAGCAAGGGTTCACAGCGTCCGCATCACGCTTCAGCACGCTTCATCACAAAGTACGTACGTTAACGTTGCGGCTAGCCCGTGTCCACAGCGTCCTCACACGTACGGTAATTTTTTATGCGCATCATACCTAGATCTAAAGACATGGCGTTAACAAGGAAGAAGAATTTTTTTTATGGTGGTTGAAGAGGAGGTATATGTATATGCAAGGTCACCGCCGATTCTGGGTACATCCCATATTCAAAGAACGAGGCAAAACAGGAGAATTTAGAATGTTGCGTCAAATTCTTGATGATAACGAAACATGCTTTGCATATTTTCCATGCCGAAGGCAAGATTTCAAAGCCTTTTGGAATTATGTGGACTACATATTTAAAAACAGAATACGAACTGGAGGAAGACCATTTCACCAACTGAAAGGCTGACAACTGATGTAAGATGTTGCTGCTGCTGCTGTTGCTGCTTCTGTTGTTGTTGTTGTTATTGTATTTGTATTTGTGGTTGTTGTTCTCTTTCTCCTTCTCCTTCTTCTTCTTCGCTGTTGTCATTGTAGTATGACCTAAGTAAATGGTCTAAACCATATCCGTCATTTAAGTAAAAGCCCACTCTGAGCCTCCCAAAAGAGCGTGTTCTTTTCAGGCACGTTTGTTTACTTTGAAAAATGGGAGCAGAAATAAACAAATAACAAAACGACTATTGAAATTCAGAATAACAAATTCAATAATTAACAATGATGTAAACTTAATAGACTATTCCTTAAATCAACATGTCAAACGAAAAAACAACCCCCCCCCCAAAAAAAAAATAAAAAAATTTAAAAATCACAGTTTGGAGACTGAGATCAAAGTCAAGTGGCATTAATTTAATTTTAAAGGTAAAAGTGAGCAAACAAAAGATAACCAAATTTCTTCTAAAAGGTAACCAAAACGTACAGTACGTACGGAAAATGTTTGACATGCAAGACGTCTTACGTTTTTCACGTAAGCGTGAGGAAGCGTGTCGTCCGCAGTGAGCCCAGGAAATATAGAAATAAAAGGTTGAACGCTCCCATACGCACTTTGTGAGTACGTAAGCGTACGAAAGCGGAGTATGTGGACCTTGGCCCTTAGTCCAGTCTATTCACTAATAAAATGTATGCAAGTAGGGTCTATAGGTAGGCCTACATGTATACACGCCTTCCCGCCCGTACACGCGCGACGCGCCGCACACACACACACACACACACCTACACAAAGAGAGAGAGAGAGAGAGAGAGAGAGAGAGAGAGAGAGAGAGACTAGTCTAGTTTTTGTAAGACGGCCACCGTCTGAAGCAGGGCGGCGCTGATCAAAATGAAGAACACAAACCATCCTTTTGAGGTCCCAACTGGAGGTGGTCGCCGGAAGACTGACGTAAGGCTAATAAAATGTGGTTTTTGTAGTTGTTTTCTTCTAAAGTTGGGGGGATCGGGAGGTTTTCTTTCCCACCAAAAGTATCCAAGGACAGTGTTGCTTGCAGTGGAAGGGAAACACAAAGAGAGATCAAGTGCCATGGTAAAACAAACAAATGAGTCGCCACCATTAAGCCAAAGAGATATAGCCTACTTTTGTCGCAAATTCATCTTGACGTCAGATATGGCCTATCGTTTTGCACAACATAATTGTCATGTTAATCCTTTGACCCGTAGAGGTTTCAAACTTTGTATGTTAGTTGTTGCTAGACGAAGCGATAATTACTAGGCTACTCGTCAGTTGGTAAAAATGTGACCCGTCCAGTCTTTATATCAAACATGCCACATCCTTGATCTGCAACACATGAGATTATTGGTAAGCACAAGTTCAGAGTTTTATACCTCAGCATTAGTATGCCCGCTGCTTCGATTCTACTTACAGGGCCTACTACCTGAGTAATTTAAGGTACCGGTACACCCAGAGGAAAGATGGAGATACGGGTCTTTGATGAACTATCTTTCCTAAAGAATCAAGCTCATGTCTTTTTCAGGGGATTGCGAAAACTCTACCGGTACTAAACTGGTTTAAAACCAAACAATTGTATAGTACACCATTTCAGCCTCGCCACTGTGAAACTAATTGAAAAATGGGAAAATTGAGGCATGGGTAAAAATGCAAATTCCCTTACGAGCATCAGTCTGTGACCCATTGACCATGTGTAGAGAAGCGTATGTTTAGAGTAGATCTATGGCATGCAGATGATTAAAACGTTTATCAGGGACTCTTTTTTTTTGTTGCGAAGATGCGCCTCTAGAAAAAGAATGGGCATCGAACTATTCTGCTGATTTGATTTTCAGCCTCAGCCTCAGCCAAATGCCCAATGACTCCCCGACCTCCGGCTATAAAAGTAAACACAAGATTTTGAAGTATGAAGAGGCTGGTGCCACAGTGTCCACCCCCGATAGTACATGTACTGGTGTAGCGTCGCTGCTCATGCGTCATAAACTCAATCAATATCATGCTGGACCGCGAAGCAGATTGGCCTGGTTCGAATCCTCATTGTGCCAAGCTCAATCTTAATGACGTTGTAGACACACATGTCCGATCAACAGCAGACCAAGGGCAATGTTGTGGCACACGTCAAACCATCATACAAAAAATCAGATACACGGATTTGTATGTTTTAAATAGACTATGACGAAATTATGTTTCTTTGGTTCACAACGCGTCTTCAAGCGTCGTTGAATGATAAGAATGCGCGTCCTCACTGAGTTGAAGACTCTATCCTTTGTAAACGGCCATATCAGAGATTGGGGGGGGGGGGGGGGGGGGGGAGGGGTGTGAAAAAATCAGAGACCCAGTCTTTGAAAACCTTAAACTTTATCAAGCTAAACTTATAGTGTTGAAAATGGTGTAAAATAAGAAGCACCACTGGAAATTATCTGACGACACTACAGGTGGCTATAATAAGGCACATTTATTCGCAAACACCCACAACTCTCCAGAAACAGCACCCCCCCCCCCCCCCCCAAAAAAAAAAAAAAAAAAAAAAAAAAAAGACTGGTCTATCCACGTGTCAAGGTCTACTTCATTCGAATTCGATGTCAGGATTTTCTTCAACATTAGACAGTTTTTGCAATAGCTGGACCTACTCCACCCCTTCCCCCTTTTGAGCCTTGTGGGTGTATTTCACTATTGGAAAGTTTTTCCTATAGCGTATACACACATTACATATATATGACACTGCTCACCCCCAACCCTTTTGTCTCAAGGCAGCTGGAAGTGTATTTGACAGCTATAAGTTTTTTGGGGGTCTGGTGTCCGTGGTTTAGTTAGACAAGGCTACTCTTTACTCCAAAGACAGTGGAGCCGCAGCGGCTATGGGAGAGAATATGAACTGAATATAATATATACTTCCCAACCTGAGCGTTGTCATGCTGACTGCTGGGCTGTTGTAGGACATCCGCCAAGACGGAGGGATCTGTCTCTCTGGCCACCACACCACCTGTTCCCAAAACCTGATTCACGAGCTCTGTTCGATGTTTTAGAGGCATCCTCAACTTATATCTGAGAAATGCATGGATTGTGCACCGGACTCTTTGAGCCTGAGGAAATGCTCTTTTAATGGCAACCTATATATAGCCCTCTCCTCGTCGCTCCCTAAACTATACACGCCCGACAGGTTTTGAAAAAAAATTGTTTCAGCATCAGAATTGCCGGGTAGAAACATGGGACCGAAGGAGAGTGGGTTTTTGGTTTCTGATCTGGTTCCAGAGCTACGGCGAAAGACGAATATGTTTTTGTAGACAGTTATTATTGTCACGGGGACGGTACCGAGATTGAACGTTTTGTTCACACACAACGTGGTAGTCTGTAATCGCGATCGTGTACGTGCTTCGCATAATATCTGTGCGAAACCATGAAATGGACGGGTTGTGGGACCTCCTATCTGCAGCCCCCAAACCTTTTTAAAACCCCACCTTTTATAACATCTCCTCGAGCACCAAGAGGAATATTCCCATCTGCCTTGCTCCCAGACTGAATTTCAAGTCAACAATCACAGGGAACTAGTCGAGAATCAGCCACATTTTGCCAGGAAGCAGATAGGTAGGGCCTACAATAGAAGCACCAATTAAAGTAGTAGTAGTGAGTAGTAGTATGCTAAAACGCATCACAAAAACAGAAACTGACAATTCACTCTCTCTCAAACCAAACAGTTAAAGAATTGCGAAAAATATAAACCCTTTTCTTGGATTAGATTTAGTTTATTTTAACTTAATCTTCAACTCAACCCACACACTAGATCACAGTCCGGCTAGCAGAAGTACTTACAAATTTGCATGCATAAAAAAGCAAAAACCTATAGAAAAACAAAACAAATTCATATGACAAAATATAAAGAAGAAAAAAAGTATGAGAAACAAATTCTGAGACATAACATAAAACGGAAAGAAAGGAAGAGCACAAGGTAGAATGGG